TCTCCCCGTTGTCTTGCAGCTGAGAAGCCCCCTCCCAAGCCCCGCGGCAGGAAACCAAAGCCCGAGCGTGTCCCGACCAGCTCCAGCAGTGACAGGTGAGATAGCTGGGACACCGTCACCCTCGGGGCTGGGCTGGAGGGTCACCCACCGCCCCTCCGCACAGGGGGTCCGAGCGTGCTCTGCCCTTTGCAGTGACAGCGACAGCGACGTGGACCGCATCAGCGAGTGGAAGAGGCGGGATGAGGAACGACGGCGGGAGCTGGAGGAGAAGCGGAAGAGGGAGCAGGAGGAAGAGATCCGTCGGCTCCGGGAGCAGGAGAAGGAGGAGAAAGAGAAGAGGAAGGAGAAAGCGGAGAAGAGCGAGGAGATGCACTCGGACTCAGACAGCAGCGCAGAGGATGAAGTGGCCAAAAAGGGCCGGAAAGGTCGGGCCAAGGCCCCATCCTCCTCGGACTCTGAGTTGGAGCTGGAGAAAGAGGTGAGAGCGGAGCCGTGGGGAGCTGGGGACAAACAGCCCGTCCTCACAGGTCAGGGCAGCGGGGACCTCCAGGAGCGGCAGGGACCTGCTGTCCCGGTCTTTTTTCACCCTGGGGTGGCCCACACAGCACTGGGAAGGGTTGTGTCCATAGGGAGCTCTTCTCCTGGCCCAGGACACCCCATCCAGCTGTGGGTCTCACATCTCCATGACACCCTCCCTCCCACCAGTCATCGGATTTGCTCCACTGCCCTCCCCGGAGCCCGGAGGGGCATCAGTGGGATTCGGCTGAAGCACAGGGGAGGGTTGCAGGGGCTCGCAGAGCCGTGCTGCCCGTGGTCAGAGGCGAGGTCGCCCTTCTAGCATGGCAGGTTCTTCCCCGTGGAGTGGGGCCGGGAAAGCAGCCTGAAGATCTTGCGGTCTGGAAGGACGCATGGGTCTGCCCGTGGGTCACTGCGGGCTGGGTGGGCCGCTTTAGGTACCAGGACACTGACTTCTGGAGCAGCGCACTGCTGCGCTGGAACCCGAGTCCCGTTTTATCCCAGGTGGGGGATGCCCCTGCCCCCAGGCTGACCTGAAGGGTGGGTGGCCGGGTGGGTGCCGGATCGCGCCCGGCCGGGGCACTGCCTCCCTCCCGCAGCAGGGAGGGCTCTGCCGCTCTCGCCTGCATTGTTCTCTCCTCCAAGGTAAAGAAGCCGGCGAAGAAGCAGCCCTCGGAGTTGTCAAGGAAACCGAATCAGAAGGAGAAGAGGGGCCGAGCGGAGGAGAAACCGCGGAACAAGTCAGCATCTCCCCTCCCCGCGTCGACGCTTTCCTCCTCTGGGGCCAGGGCTGCTCCTTGCTGCTGCCCAGCCCTC